ACATAAAACCACACTCTGAAGGCATGGTTCCACACAATGGGGTGAGGTTTCACTCACTAACCCAGAAGTCAATGAACATCCCCTCCCAAATTAAATATTCCTCGGTCTTGTTACTGAGTTGAAGTGGCTCATGGAAGCACACAGCAAACACCAAGGAGGAGATAAGGGAAGGTGGAAATCTGCAGTTGGGAGATGACGAGTCAGCAACAGCTCAGCTTCTCAGCGTTGGTGAACTATTAGATCAGCTCAGCTGCTCATGGATCTGTCTATGGGAATCAGTTTGCTCTGCAGATCATCGCTTAAAGGCCCATGCTGGAAGAGACAAGGCTCAACTGAACAGGATAAATGAGCTATTTTTGTTTGTGCTAACAGGTTCTTAATAATACATTCCGTGTGCCATTGAAAAGACAATCTGAAATGAAAGAGCTCTGAAATGGCCAATAGTCTCACTGTGGACGGAAAGATACGTTCATGGCCACACAACCTAAAATGATCTCAGGCTACTGAAAAAAAGTCAGGAACAATGCTTAGTTATTCAGGAGGGGCATGAGCTGTAAAGAAGCAGATCTGGCTCAAAACCAACACAACTACGAAAAAAGTTTACTCAGGGGAAAGAAGGCCAAAAGCACTGAAGAACTGAGGAAACAGAGGAACCAACGCTGGGGAAACAGAGGCCCTGTTGTTTTGTACGGGCAAGTGTTTCAGAGTCTATTCAGCAAATTACCCACTCGGTCTTAAAGCAATGGGCCCACGGGGCAAGTTTGGGGCGTGAGCCCATTTCACCCAGCCTTTCCCTTTGTCCTGAAGGAGACGACCCCTCTGACACAGTCGGAATGCCTTTCTGTGTCTTGGCACAGGCAGGCGTTCCCTGGTGCCTCTGGTCTCACCCTGTCCTCCCACACAGAGGCAGGAACGCAAGCGGGTCTCTGCCTACGAACCTGCACTTCCCAGCCACTGCTGCATCCCCCGGGGCAACCAGAGCACTAGGGCTGGGCAGCGGGAAGCAGAGTGATGTCCACCTTGCCCGGAGGAAGGGCAGCAGTCTGAGAAGTGGGGAGAGAAGGGTGGTTGCTCCAGTGAAAAACAGGTGGTATTGGCCTGGTTGGGTGGGAGTAGTACTGCTCTCAAAAGGAAAAAGGGGAACAGGCTCCCGGACACAGGGAGGGAAAGATCAGCCTACAGGAACCTCCTGCAACCGGTATTCACTCCTTGGCCTCTCAAGTTTGGGTGTCCCCTTAACGCCCCAAGCTTTTAGCTCTAGCAAAACTAGTATTATGGCCCAGAAATAGATCAGAAGTACTTCAGGTCTAAATAATTCAGATGTCAAAATGAATATGAGGAAGAGAATTAGTTAGCGGAAGGATTGCTTTGTTTTTGAAGTTGCTATTTCTTTCTGTTTACGCACCCATCAGACACTCTAACGAATCAGTGAACTGGATGCACAGCTAGACAGCATCACTGATTACATCTTTCCCTGAACAAAATCAGGGAAATACTGGGGGAAGGGGAGGGGGGAGGCAAGCAAAGGTGATTTAAAGGGCAGAACTATTTGATGAGATTTTATCTGCTGTGTAGTTTAAAGAGAATTCCCAAACTATCTACAGTCAGAACATTGAGGGTTGTTGTATATTGTAAAGGAATTTTAAGTAACTCGTTGGCAGAGTTATCTTTTGCTCAGGGTTGCCAAATCTCATCGCTTTATCACAGATCTCATAATGCTGAATCGCTTATTTAAACTGCAATTCAAAGAATCGCTAATGAGCTTCTTGCCTTTTTTTTTTTTTAAATAAGTGTAAATTTCTCAGGGACCTACTTATTACAGAAGGTAAAAAGATAATCAGAGTAAATACCAGAAGAGTCAGGGGCGTTATCATTCATCTTGCTTTCTCTCATCAGGAGAGAATCGCTGCTTGCTGGCAGGTTTTGCAGCTGCCTGCTGACAGCAGAAGGACGTGGGGCCTGGGGACTCCCTGCTCTCCTCTGGAAGCGCTTGCCCGGGTTATAAACCTTGGCCGCAGCTTGGCTTTCACTCTGTGCTCCCTCAGCTGCCCTCCACCCCCACTTCTCTCTCAGTCTCTTCCCATTACTGAAAGTTTCATGAATATAAAAAATTCCACTGTTTCACCGTGACCCCACCCAGAGCAGCACGAGCCCATATACAGCAACGTTTAAAAAAAAACCAAACCCAAGCTATTTTATAATTATAGCTCGACCGCTGGCAGGATCTGGGGCAGGATTTACGTCTGTTACCTGCCTCGATCATCGTGTGCAGGCCGCTGTAATGGATGCAAAGCTGCCTCTAGCCTCCATAGACAGACAGGTCTGCATAGGCAGCACGGGCCGGCCAGGCAGGTCCCTGCTGGGGACAGACAGCCCAGGTAAAAGGAGCTCTTGCTTCTGTCTGATTTAAAGCTCGGATTTTTTGTTTTCAGGATCAGCCACAACTTTCTTCAGCCATTAGTAAAGCAACATGTCTTCCTCCATCTGCTAAAAAAACACCTGAAGGATTTTTGGACAGCAGGACCCTGAGACATCGAGTTAAGACCTAACTCAGTCGCAAGCCCTTTCTCTGCAGTTCGTTTTGTGTGCCTTTAGCGTACATCGGACTCTTTTTTTGGAGGCTCTTCTGTGGAAATCCGGGGACTGGAAATGCATTCAATAGAGCAAGAAGCGCAGACCCTCGTGTAA